ATCCCAGGTGCCATGCAGAGAAGAGCTTCTTGTTCTCCTTTTCCCTTTCCCTCTTCCCTCTCACCTCATCTTGTTCATTCACTCATCGCTTTTCCCTTCTCACTTTTAAGTGTTAACCTTTAAAAGCCTGTTTTCCCCTATAAGTAATGTATTGTAACTCCCGCCATCACCATATCCTTCTCCAACCCACCAAACTGCCAAGGGTGGTAAGTGCATAAACTAAGAAGAAATGGGAAACATTCATTGCAAAATTTGCAGGCCGTCAGTCACCCAACGTGACAGCACAGATCTTCTGGTCTTTGAAGACCCATATATTTTTTTTTTAAGACAGGTGTCACTCTGTCACCCAGGTTCAGGTGCACTGGTGCAATCACAGCTCACTGCAACCCCCAACTCCTGTGCTCAGGCGATCTGCCTGCCTCAGCCTCCCAAGCAGGTGGAACTACAGGAACACACCACCACACACAGCCAATGTGCTTACTTTTTGTGGAGACAGGGTCTTGCTCTGCTTAACAGGCTGGTCTCAAACTCCTGGCCTCAAGAGATCCTCCCACCTTGGCCTCCCAAAGTGCTGGGATTATAGGCATGAGTCACCATGCCCGGTCTGAAGACTTTTAAACGCTGCCATATTCAAGATACATTGAAACTCAAAGTTTGATGAGCCTGCTATTTGCAAGTGAGTAATATACAACACACTGAAATACCTTCAGCTTCTCAGGCTTTGTACCTTCCTCTGGAATAATCAGTGTATCCCAAAAGTAAATCCATAATGAGGTCCAGTTTTTCCTTCCTACTTGGCTATGAAATAGACAAGAAAAAGGAAAGCTAGCCATTTCCATCTCACTGTAGGTGACTCTCCCGTTTGCTTTTTGACTGTATTTGGGAAGCGGGGGCCTGACTGCTTTCCTACTTCCTGAGCACAACTTCCTTTACCTAGGAAATCCTCAGCGTGACCTACATGGATTAAACCAGCTTCCTCACTTTGTTTCCAATATTCTTACAATCAAAGTATCCAGAAAGGGCAAGGCAACCTGAAAAAATGAGGACGGGTACATTATCCCATGAGCCAAACTGTCACTTACACTAGTTAGTCATGAAATCGGCAAAATTCCAGATGAGTTCTCCAACCACGTATTATCTGCGCTTTTGATCCAGACCCAGATGATACTGCTCTAGCAGACTGTTCTGGTAGTCTTCACTGAACATCAGAGATGGATCCTGGAATTCAAGGCAAAGAGAATTTAAGAATCAGAACTGGCAGAATTGCAAATGTTAGATAAAAAATAAAGATACACTTGATGGTGATGAAAATATCTGACCTCACAGGGGGTTGTAGTGACTGCAGGACTCACTGATGCTAGGGTAAAGGCAGCCAGGGAATGGTCTAACGCAGAATAAAAAAGGAGGTTTAAAAAAAAAACACAACATGGCCAGGCGTGGTGGCTCACACCTGTAATCCCAGCACTTTGGGAAGTTGAGGCTGGGCAGATCACGAGGTCAAGAGATCGAGACCATCCTGGCTAACACGGTGAAACCCCATTTCTACTAAAAATACAAGAAATGAGCTGGGCATGGTAGTGGGCGCCTGTAGTTCGAGCTACTCAGGAGGATGAGGCAGGAGAATGGTGTGAACCTGGGAGGTGGAGCTTGCAGTGAGCAGAGATCGTACCACTGCACTCCAGCATGGGCAACAGCGAGACTCTGTTGAAAGAAAGAAAGAAAAGGAAAGAAAGAAAGAAAGAAAGAAAGAAAGAAAGAAAGAAAGAAAGAAAGAAAGAAAGAAAGAAAGAAAGAAAGAAAAGAAAGAAAGAAAGAAAGTCTTTACTTAGTAACTGCTTTATTTATAAATAATTTGATATTCGATTCATCTTACTTTTCCATCTCTACCTGCTGGTACAGACTTAAGGCTGAACTACACTAGAAGTAAAAATATCCCTTGGGACCAAGCATGATGGCTCATGCCTGTCATCTGAGCACTTTGGGAAGCCGAAGGGGGAGGACTGCTTGAGCCTAGGAGTTCAAGAGCAACCTGGGAAATATAGCAAGACCCCATCTCTACAGAAACTACAAAAATAAGCTAAGCATGGTGGCACACAAGGGGGGTCCCAGCTACTTGGGAGGCTGAGGTGAGAGGACTGCTTGAGCCCCGGAGGTCAAAGCTTCAGTGAGCTGTGTTTGCATCACCGCACTCCAGCCTGGGTGACAGAGCGAGACCCTATCATAAGTAAATGTATGTATGTATGTATGTATGTATGTATGTATGTATGTATGTATGTATAATGAAATTAAACCAGGCTGGGCATGGCAGCTCAGGTCTGTAATCCCAGCACTTTGAGAGGTCAATGCAGGAGGACGACTTGAGCCCAGGAGTTGAAGACCAGCCTAGGCAATACACTGAGACCCAATCTCTACAAAAAGTTTAAATATTAGCCAGCTGTGGTGACGCATGCCTGTGGTTCCAGCCACTTGGGGGGCTGAGGAGGGAGGATCATTTGAGCCCAGGAGGTTGAGCAATGAGCTGTGATTATGCCACTGCACTCCAGGCTGGGCAACAGAGTGAGGCTGTCTCAAAAAAAAAATTATTTTTAAATAAACTAAATAAATTCAGCTATTCTAGTCATATATCAGGACTTCAATAGCCACATGTAGCTGGTGGCCACCACTTCACACAGTGCATATATGGGGCATTTCTGTCATTGCAAGGGTTCTTTTTTGAAACAAGGTCTCACTCTGTCCCCCAGGTGGCAGCACAGTGGTACAATCATGGCAGATGGCAGCCGTGACCTACTGGGCTCAAACGATCCTCCCACCTCAGCGTCCCAAGTAGCTGGGACTACAGGTAAGCACAACCATAACCAACTAATTTTATTTTTTATTTTTCTTATTTTTTTGAGACGGAGTCTTGCTCTGTCACCCAGACTGGAGTTCAGTCGCACGATCTTGACTCACTACAACCTCTGCCTCCCTGGTTCAAGCAGTACTCCAACTTCAGCCTCCTGAGTAGCTGGGATTACAGGCGCACACCACCACACCCAGCTAATTTTTGTATTTTCTTAGTAGAAATGAGGTTTCACCATGTTGGTCAGGTTGCACTCGAACTCCTGACCTCGTGATCCACCCACCTCGGCCTCCCAAAATGCTGGGATTACAGGTGTCAGCCACCTTGCCTGGCCGCAACTAATCTTAAATATTTTGTAGAGATGGGGTCTATGTTGTGCAGACTGGTCTCAAACTCCTGGGCTCAAGAGAGCCTCTGATCTCAGTCTCCCAAAGTGCTAGCATTTCAGGAGTGAGCCACCACACCCAGCACTGCAGAACCCAGATCTATCAGTGCTGACCTAGAACCTCTCAAGAGTTTCTTAAGAATTCAGAACTGAGGCGAGGCATGGTGGCCCATGCCTGTAATTCCAGTACTTTGGGAGGCCAAGACAGGTGGATCACTTGAGATCAAAAGTTCAAGACCAGCTTGACCAACAACGTGAAACCTCACCTCTACTAAAAAAAAAAAAAAAAAGATTAGGAGAACGTGGTGGTGCATACCTGTAATCCAAGTTACTTGGGAGGCCGAGGCAGGAGAATCGCTTGAACCAGGAGGCGGAGGTAGCAGTGAGTCAACATTGTGCCACTGAACTCCAGCCTGGGTGACAAGAATGATCTTCCCTCTCAAAGAAAAAAGAAATCAGAGCTGGTTACCTTTTCAAACAGGATGAGCAAGGGTGCATATCCACGAGCCACTTCCCCCTTCTTGACAAGTTTGCAGAAGTGGCATTCTGTAAGCACGATAAATTTAAGGGTGCAAACAGAACAGCACAGTCCACTGTGGGGGGCTATTCTTAATGTGTCAACGGGAGTCCCAGGAGCTGTGACAAATGAGTGTGAGCTGGCTGGGGAGGGAACGAGGGGCTGGATGGTGTTCAGGAATCCACATGGAAAAAAAAAATCGACAAGATAAAGCAACCTATCTTTGGTGAGGAAGACGAAAAAATGAGAGGGATAAAAAAATGAGGACAGGCAGGGCATGGTGGCCAGGGAGGCCAGCCAGATCTCCACACAAAGGCTCTGCTCTTAAGCAGGAGGCAGCCTCAGGGACAAAAGTTTCCTGAAGCAACTCAGGTGAGGCCTCACATACAAGAGCCCCAGAGGCTGCAAAAGCACCAGCTCAGCCAGCCAAAAACCCAGGGCCACACCCTTCTGAGACCCAGACTCCAAGTGAGGATCGCTGGGATTCAGCAGAACAGGACGACGTGACAGTTGGCGGACCAATACTTCCCAACACCCTTCCAGCAAGCAGCTGTGGACCTGCCATAGGAACGGTGACAGGCAGGATGGTGGTCTGGGAAGAAGGATCCCAGACTGGGTGTCCCATAGGACCAGGTTGTGACAGATCCCACAGCCAACACTCATGCCCCAGCCAAACCCAAACCCAACAGCTCCCCAAAGCCCTCCATGTAAATAGCCTGTGCACTGCTAAGCAGATACCTCAGGGAATAATCTGATGGCTGTGAAGAAGATGCAGCCTCAACAGGGTTCCACAAGCCTTCTGCAAGCAAAGCCTTCTTTGCTTGGGTGCCTCTTCAAAGCACTAGGGAAGCTCTTAAAAGATACAGGGCCAGGCACAGTAGCTCACGTCTGTAAACTCAGCATTGTGGGAGGCAGAGGCAGGAGTACAGCTTGAGGTTAGGACTTTAAGGACAGCCTGGGTGGAATAGTGAGACCCTGTCTCTACAAAACACAAAAATTAGCATGGCATGGTGGTATATGCCCATAGTCCCACCCACTTGGGAGGCTGAGAAGGGAGGATTCCTTGAGCCTGGGAGGTCAAGGTTGCAGTGTCCATGATCATGCCACTGCGCTACAACCTGGGCCACAGCACAAGATCCTGTTACAATCAAACAAGCAAACAAAAAACCAAAGATGGGTATCTTCTGCCCCATCACATAAATCCAAATCTCCACAGGGTGACACAGGGTGACACAGGGTATTCGCATTTTAAAATATCTCCTCTGCTGAAGTAAATGTATAATAATGGCTGAAAACCACTGAGTTATGTAAATACACTTCCTGTGACTTATTTGTAGCCCTTTCGTATCTAGCAATTTCTACAGACCCTCTCTGTGGGCTTCAGAAGCCAGAATGGGCAGGGCCACGTGTGAAGGTCCTAGCAAACTGAGAGTAGAGCACAGCTACTAGCTCA